GGAAGGGGCGGGGGTCAGGGATACCCGGGCCGGGGGTCTGGGAGTCAATCCCCTACCCCGGCTTGGGCCCCGGGGATCCCTGGGTGACAACCCTGACTCACAGCCCCTCGTTTGTTGTCCGCTTTTCCCTCGCTGCCTACGGTTTACCGGGCAGCTCTGTTTGACGATATATATGTATATATATTTTTTGGGCATGGTTGGCAAGTGGTACAAGGCCATTCTGGTATCCTAGTTCTTTTCAAGTCATTGACCGAACCTTCTGCCTGTTGTGGTGAGAATGATGTGTCTGCCTCTTTGTCTTTCTTGCACAAAAAAATGGACCATTTCTGTCCTTTGGGACATCTGTTAAAATTGGAACGACACAGAGAAGATTAGCATGGCCCCTGCACAAGGATGACACACATAGATCGAGAAATGGTCCAAATTAAAAATAAATAAATAAAAAATCGCCAAATCGGACCATTTCTTGATTATGCGCATCATCCTTGTGCAAGGGCCAGTATCGCAGCTGCATGGAAGTTCAGTTTGTGCTCACCCTGCTTTGTCAGTTATGTCAGGACAACGACACACTTGCCATGAATGCTGAACTCATCATTTCCCATAACTGTTTGCTGACTGTCTTTGCAACTGTATGGTTTCTACTTCCTGCCCGCTCGGTCCATCTCGTGTTTTCACAGGAGCTATGCGAGCCGTTTGTTCAGTGGCTATCTGCTGGTTCAGTTACAAGTAGTGATGCAAGTGTGGCGAGCCCAGGTCCCGCAACAGCGACAGAGTCGTCGCCTGGGAAGGCGGCAGCTTCGTCTCTTTTGTCTTGGGAGGAGCGTTCCGTGCAGCACAGGGGAGCCTTTCTGCTTCCTGCCAAGGTGATGAGGAGCTTGCAAAATGCATGGAGCTCATTCCTGTCGCTTCTGCAGAGCTGCAGACCCTCTATGTCTTTCGACTCTACACTTCTTGCTCTGATGGCGCCTATGCTTGCCCGCGCTCTTGTGCATCCGTTTGACCCTATTGCGAACGTGACGGTCTGCTTCTGGCAAACGACATTTGGTGGCCTCACAGGAGGTGGTAGTAGCAGCAACGGAGGAGGGGCTTCTGGGTCAACAGGGGGTGCACTTGTTGGTAATGGTGGGGGGGTTGGAGCAGGGTCCAGTCGGATCATGGCTCTCTTGAAGGGAGAGTCCCATAAAGGGAACATTGGGAGAGTTGGCTCATCGTTGACTACAGGACGGGGGTCAGGGAAGCTATCTGTGCAGGGATGCCTTGAGTATCCTTCTGTCCTTCGACCGGTTCTCGCCCTTCTCCGCCAGAAAACAGCAATAAGTCTTCCGTCATGGCGGGAGTCAGATTCTGGCGGCAGGGGTCCTGCGTCTACTCCCAGTTCCGTAGTCGCTGGGGGTCGCCCAGGCGTTGTGCCAAGGGCTGATTCAGCGCCGCATGATAGTGGCCAATCACCACTTGTCACAATCGGGGCAGCTCATCCGTCTGCTGCATATGACGAAAAGGCAGCCGATCGTCAAAATGAAAATGCGGTGGAGGAACATATTTTGCAGACAAATCGAGGCGGTCAGTCGGCTCCGCAGTGCATTAAGCATGGCGAGAGCGGGGTGATGGAAGAGGGTAGAACAGGACAGCCGGAAGCACAGACACGGCTTGCAGGACCTGCTGCTAGTGCTTTTGCCAGCCTGAAGACACTTGATGCTAATAATGCCTTCTTTGAGGGAAGGGCGGTAAGCTCTGAAGCTCCCAAGAAGATTTCGTTTACGGTTGTTGAAAGTGATGCTGGGCAACGTGCCACAGCTTCGGTAGTTGCGGAATCGACGAGTACAGTCCTTCAGGATGGGAAGAAGGATGAGAATCCTAGAGGATGTGAGAGAGGGACTGTAAGTCCTCGTATTCCTATCAGTCCGATCAATACTGGGTTAAAGCTACAGTGGAGTGCTCTGAAGGACTCCAGAGGGCAAGCAGATCAAGGAGCTGGCCAAAAGGACAGTCCTGCATTACTGAGGAGGAAGAAGAAGCTTAGGTTTTGGGATGAGAGTGAAGAGGTGGAGTACGTCAAGGTTCCATCCAAGAGCAATGAAAAGCCTTCTGGACCATTGACAGAGCGACAGAAGGAGGTAAGAGATGCACAGCGAGGACGGGGGGGACTCGGGGGATCATTGCATGGCACTGGGGGCGTGCGAACGTACACGTCTGTGGATTACACCCAAAGTCTGGGCATGGAAGACACACAAGACGGATGCGATTGGGAGGCTAGAATAGGAGCCAAAGAGAAAGAGGCTATGGAGAAAGCCAACACTGGAGGCAGAGAATGCAACACGGAAGGTAATGCCGGAGTTGCAGTTGGCAGGGAATCCGGCTGCGGGATCCAGCCTTTGCTTGTCAAAGAGCGCAAGTCAGGGCCGCAGGAGCCGTTGCCAGACAAAAGTAGCGTAGCTAAGGGCGAGGAAAATGCAGCAGCATCGCCTGCAGCAATAAAAGGTTCTGCTATGGAAACGTTATTGCAGCAGGGAGAGCAAGAACAGCAACGGGAACTGGGAGCGGCAGCGCCGACAGCAATAAAACGTCCTGCTGTGGAAACGTTTTCGCAGCAGCCACACCAACAGGGTGGGGAATCTGGCGGTGGTATCCAGCCTTTCCTGGTCAAAAACGGCGAGCCAGGGCCACAAGAGCCATCGCCATTGAATGTATCACTGCCAAACAAAAGCAGTGAAGCTAAAGGTCCTGCTGAGGAAAAGCCTCAGCAGCAGCAAGTGCAACAGCAGCAACAGCAACATTATCAACAGGGAGATAAGAATAGCCGGACCGGATTGCTGATCGACAGACAAGGCCCAGGGAACAAAGGGCTCTCGCTGCATAGTGAGTCACCTGAACCAGTCGTCGTGAAAAACGCGAAAACGGAAACCGTGCACTGCCAGGCTAACAACAACTTGACAGTTGAAGGTGGGAAGCCTGATAATGATAGCAGCGCATCGGAACAGAGGAGCAACTTTGAGAGAATGAATGCCCCACATAACACAGGAACTCAGGCTGTAGAATCGGACAGAATAGAGGAAAGCGATCCTCGCGTTCTTGATGCCAAGAAAGTGGATGGATCATGTAATACACACGGACGCGTTTCCGCGGATGGCGACAGACAATCGGCACGTGTACGAGCGGTGCGACCCGAGTCGCCGGAATGGTCAGTTTTTTGTGACGAGCGGACATTGTCAGGAAAGGAAACAAGGATTGTTGAAGAGGAGATGAAGGAGGATGACGACGTTCAGCACGAAACTGATACCGTACTGACGAACCATTTCGCGGGCAGTTCCAAGCGTGTCGTTTTGGCCCAAAAGAGAAGTGGGGTCGACCTGCTCAGGGAATCCAAGAGGTTGAGAGGCATGTCAGGAGCCGATCCGCATTCTGGTGGTGGGCCTAAGAGCTACGCTGACACTGAGCAGAATCACGACGTCTGTGACCAGAATCAGGATGTAAGTGACCATACCTTGATTGCTTTTGTGGATCTATGCCGTGGTTATGGCGCCGATGCACCGGTTCCTGTGGCAAAGCAGAATGTAGAACAGGATGGAAGTTCCTTGCAAGGGCCAAGCAGGCAGACCGTTACAGAGGCAGTAGACCGATCAGGCGACGATCTTCCCTGTCCGTCGAATTCAGGACGCAAAGAGGGAAGACGTGAAAAAGATGCTGCAGCACCTCACAGTACCTGTAGTGTGCCTACGCCGCAGAAACACGGGACTCGCTCGACGAGTTTGCAAGATGGCCACTCGGCTTGCGAGTGGAAGAGTGAGGGCAGGTGTTCTGCTGTCGTGGACGGATGTCTGACGCCAGGCACAGATCCAGAAGAAGAAGGGCTGCAGTTGCAGGAGTCTTCTCTCAGTCCTGTGGTTGAAGCAACCGACCTGCGCCCTGCGGGGGAAACACAAATATCTGTGTTAGTTAACAAACAGACTGTTGGGGATGCTGAGGCACAATCTTGCAGCGAACAGTATGCTTATCAGTATCGCCAGGGGACGGCAGTGGAAACTGGTGGTCAAAAAGACATGCAAGGTGATGATAGGATTGCGAGGAACGTCACTGGCATTGTGGAGGCTGTGGTTCCAACAACACGGGGCGAGGTGATGAACAGAGAAGCTCGAGCGGTAAATCTCTCCTTGGGCAAAGCTGGACAAAATGGAGTGGAGTCTTCCATGGACGAAGTTGAGGTTATCCGTGAGAATGATCAAGGACAGCATCTCCCACTGGCAGTGGTGGAGAGAGAGATGGTGGATTGTCAGAAAGCATCCCCCCAGACCATTCGGTGCATGGCGGGGCGGAAGGGATACGTGGACGAAAAAGGAAAACGCCATCATCCGAACATCGGTACTCCTCAAGGTCTACTAAGCAGCATGTCAGTTATGCCTCGTGGTCAGCCAGGAGGCCCAAAGGGTGGTATAGTGGTAGGTGGTGAAGAATCTGAAGATGAAGGCGGCGCCCAAGTTTTGTCGAGGAAGACAGCTGGCATCAAGACAGTGGCAAAAAGTTTTGTCGAGGACAGTAATGGTGATGAGGATGAGATCGACAGAGACTTGACCCTACTCCGCCGACTTTCCCAAGCGGGTCAGTGGGACCGAATGGATCTGCATTCACTCATCGAAGCACAAGAGTGTGCTGCACGCATTAGCATGGGAGTCGCAGGTGCAATGAGGGCACATCTCATACGGATTCTGTCTGATAAATGAGTGCCCTCAGATTCACAATACTGTTTTCGCACCTTTTTGGTTTTTTCCTCTTCTCAACTTATCAGGTTGAGCTGATCGACATTCCAAAAATTAGGAAATTTTGAGTCTTGCCGGTTCTGAACTGCGTGGGGACTGACAAGACGACCGCTGGTTAATCCCTCGACGAAGCCGCATTTGGAGTCGGCATGTTGTGACGACAATGCACATGAAGGCTGTCTACTCCTTTCCACCGAAGAAGTGCTGGATGTTTTGTTTCTATTTCTATTTGTTGTAAATTATCAGGAGCTTCTGCCTCGGGACACAGGACGACTGTGAAAGAGAAGAAGGTAGAAGAGACAAGAGCTAGTATCTGTTAGCAAACACAGCAGCATTTGCAGCGATTCTTCGGTTGCAGCTGTTGTGGCAGCTGCGCTCAGGAAGATCGGTTTCATCGAACTCCCCCGCGCCAAACGTTGGGGGCCTGCCTTCTTACTTGTGTCTTTTTCAGATTCGCATATCTGCACATTGTTATACTCAATTGCAACTTGTTTCGTCACTGAAGTCGTCTCACATCAACCTACAAGTGTAGTGACCAGTTCAGGGCTGCGGTCATTCTCAGAAAAGACTGATGAGCATAACTGGCTTCCTCTGTATTCACTAACTGCAGGCAAGTACGCGGTGCTCATGCTGCAAGCTTCTATCCTTCGCGTAGTAGTATTGGATACCCTCTGATCATCAGTCGATGATTGCCATACATGTCAGCGAGATCCATACCAGAGCAAGTTTCGTCCTCCTTCAAAGGTTCCGTTACGCCGCTTACGCGGCTTTCAAGTTCCCCAGTCGTAAGAGCTTGGTGCCAGACATATTAGCGAGATCCATACCTGTTGTGGATGCCAAGCGGTGTAACAGTTGCAACTTCTCTCTATTTTTTTTTGGGTGAAGTTGAAACACTGACAAACCCATATGTTTCAGTTATACGGTAATAACCCCATAGTAAATAGGGAGTGTTATCAGATTGGGAGGGGGCCTCTTGCAAGTTTCCTCCCTTTTGTTGAGGGGTAAGTTGGATACCCCCCCGCCTCTTCTCAAAATGTTGCCTCCATGTGTGGCATGCTGTGCTTCATGTGGAGCTGCACAGAATGGGGACGGGGTCGAGCGCATGGAGACAACAGATGTAACAGACTCGCTTGTCAATCTGTCTTAAACACGTTCACACACACACACACACACACACACAGACACACACACACACACACAGAGACACACACACACACACAGACACACACACACACACACACACAGACACACACACACACAGAGAGAGAGAGAGAGAGAGAGAGAGAGAGA